CTGTCTCTTATACACTCTTCTATAAAACCTACAGGTAACGGTAGGGCTTAGCCTACTAAAATACAAGAAACATTGGGGTTTCCCCAACAAGAAAAATAATTAAATTTAGGCCTTTATTATAAACATTTCTTCGTAAACTGTCAACTAGCGTAGGCTAGCATTTTACTACCAGGCTACTACTATTATAAATATAGGCCTAGGCCTACATAGCCTAGGTACGGTAGGGACACTGAACAAGTTTTGAAGTTGTTTAAATCATGATCAAATTCCAAATTTCGCTGAACGCGTTTAACATTTTGCCATTCACGAGCAGTCAGCCATATGGAAAGGGGAGGAGTTAACTTCCAAACGGATTAAACGGCTCGAACGACAAGCTTCCAAACGGCATTTCACAGACGCGTTTGGGAGCTTGTCATATAACAATAGTAAACGTGTTTGACCCGTTTCTGTCGTTGGGGATAATTTGTAGATCGCGCCTTATATGGTTTTCTTGATGATGCAGAATTTATATTTTTATATGACATAATATGTCACTAATCCAGATTTCCAGTACAAAAACTATGCCCTATTTGATTTAAACGGATACAATGACGACGAGTGTAACAGTTATTTTAGGTAAGGAGAGGTTGCTTGCACAGAAAGCTGAAAGGCCTAGGCCTAGGTTTCGTCTGCCATGCATCGCACGCAACTTAAACATTCCCTGGTTCCCAGTGCATCGCTTCCCATCATATTTTAGACCGAACGTTAAATCGAGAGAAGACCGTTCTGGATTTATACATTTTTGTACCATTTTACCATCCTCTCCTGTCTACCGTCATGGATCGAAAGCTCGCTATTATTAAGCTAGGAGGGCAGTGTTGCATTCTGGCCTCAATACATAATCGAGTCTGCTTCCTTATCGGTTTTGCTGGTGTATGGCTAGAGTATGCAGGTAGTTTACTCACATTTGCTAGGCATGCAGATGGCATTTCGCTACTTCTACATTAACTTTCTACTGTATCTCTCAGGTCCTCCGAATCGAGAGACATATACATGAACTGCATTTTGTTTTTAGTTGCGTGCCCTTAATCAGGCCCATAGCTAATATAAAACTCATATTCCCTCAATAAAATTTCGTGGAAATATTCTTGCTTCTTTGTGCAATATTTTTCAATCATTCAATCAAATTTTATAAGTTAAATGCAGTACAAGCATTGTATAAATGACTGTCACATATACTAAATTCTGAAAATAAGCTGTCTTGGCTAGGCCAGTACATCACACTTCACCAGGGACGTAGCCAGGATTTTGAAAGGGGGGGAGCCGTTATGCGAATTACGTATGACCCTGGCGGGGTCAAGGGGGCGAATCCCCCTGTGAAGTAGCGCAATCTGAATGTTCTTAGGACTGTTTGAGAGGATAAAGTGAAAATTGCAATAGACGCATTATAAATAAGCGCAAAAATAATTATATAATAAATCAACAGTAGCAGATCCAGGAATTCGAAAGAGAGGTGAACCAGGGAGGGACTTTCACAGACCGAGGAACCACCCACCATGGTTGGGGCTGAGGTAAGAAAATTTATGATTAAAGCATCTCTAGATGGCCAGAAATTACACTCTCACACTTCAATTTGAATATATTTTTCTTCTTTTTTTTTTCTTA